GACCTCACGGCAGAACCCAAGTAGAATAGCTTAAGCTAACTACCAGATCCTTCCATTTCCTCCATATTCTGGGCTTGTAATCTTAGGTAGTCACTCCAAAGTGACTAGCACGCAGCATGGGGACTAGAATTCCAGAACAATATTTGGAGGTAAAGATGTATTTTAATTCTCTTTCCAATGAAAACAGTTCTAGTCTCGTGGGCGTGGGAGTGAGCACTATGGACAGAACAGACTTGCTGCCACTGTCAAGCTGTCAATCACGGACTCCTCCCCTTTCCTAACTCCTCCTTGTATACACGTGACTAACTCCAGACCTCACATGACAGAACAGTTAAAGAGCCCTCCCTGCTCTTTAGCTCACATCCAAGTTATGCAAATGGCCGCACAGCTAAAGTTGAGAGATCACTGGGACAAAGACTGTCTAGATCTGTGCTTACATCTCTACATCTGTGCTCCCTTAGAGCAATGGTTCTCAACCTTGACCTTCCCTTAGAGCAGTGGTTCTCAACCTTGACCTTTTGCACAGTTCCTCCTGGTGTGGTGACATACCTCCCCCAACCATAAGATAATTTTTGTTGCTACCTCATAACTAATTTTACTACTGTTATGAATCGTAATGCAAATATCTGATATGCAGGATATCTTAGACGTGACCCCTAAAGGGGTTGAAACCCCCAGGTTGAGAACCATGGCCTCAGAGCTACAAATCAAAATGAAAACCATGCTGTATCTCACATTCTCATGAGAAGGGAAAACTGTAACAAGAAGGCCTATCAGCAAATGTGCTACCTGTACTCAGCACACTCAAATATTTGAAGGCTGAACTCACCAGGGGCACTTAAAATAAACTTAGCTTTTCTTGTTTGTTCTTTCAGAAAACTTCACACTCACTGCTTTTGATTACAACTCAAAGCAACATAGCTAACAATAGTTAGCATAAACTTCACAGATGAAGCCTGGAAGTGGTGGTGCACGCTTCTGATCCCAGCACTCAGCAGAGACAGGTGGATCTCTGTGAGTTCGAGGCCAGCCTGGCCTACAGAGAGAGTTCCAGGACAGGCTCCAGAGCTACAGAGAAACCCTGTCTCAAAAGAATAAAAGAAGAAAAAAACAAAAACCTGAACCCTAATTTGTGAGCAATAGGAGCAAACCCAAGACTACACACTCATGCGGAGCAGACGGCTCTCATGTGAGAGGCTTAAAAGCATCCAACTGGTCCTTTTGCAGCCAACTAAGAAAACAGAGGCAAGAATCTTAGATCAGACAGGAAATGAGCAATGTTCAGTTTTGATTTTTTTTAAATGCTCTTAACCCAAGCTACAAACAATGGAGACAGGACTATAAAAATATTTTTGCAAGATGGTATGGTGCCATATTCCTATAATCCCAGAACCTAGACTGACGCAGGAAGACTGCTGCACATATGAGGCTACAGACTGTCAAAGGGACTCTGTGTGTGTGAGTGTGTGTGTGAGTGTGTGTGTGAGTGTGTGAGTATGTGTGTGAGAGTGTGTGTGTGAGTGTGTGAGTGTGTGTGTGTGTGTGTGTGTGTAGAGGGCATGTGCACACAAGCACACGGCTCTTGTGTGGTTTATAGCTTATAGACACAAACCTCCCCGCGTTTACAAACCTGAAATGTGTCCACTACTCGGTGAAGGAATTCAATGACAAACAGAGGCGGGACCTCTGTCTGAATCACAGCCACGAAAAAGATCTTGTGTCGGTAAACACTCAAGAGGTAGTGGTGCGGGGTGGGGATAACAGGAGGCACATTTTCTGCCTCAGTGGCCCTCTCTTGGGCCTCAAAGAAGTAGTCACAAACAGAACGGCTGACCACGCTTTTCCAGTGTTTCTCCAGGAAAATATCTCCAGAGGAGTTGATCAAGAAAAGACTATGAATCATGGCGAAGCTTGCCGGTGGGAGAGGAACACCTTTTTAGTCCACAAACCTCTGGATTCAGCTAATTTTAAATCCTAAAAAAAAAAAAAGAGGCTCCTTTCAGTTTCACTGAGTTAACAACGTTCTTATTTTCCATTGGTCCAAGACTTACCCTCTTTCGAGGCCAGACTCAAGTCCTCCTCTCACAGGCGCATCTAACCTTTTGACATTGTAACACAACAGTGTCGCCCACAAAGCATATTCTCAATAACCATACAAGTCAGTTACAAAACACAATGGGAAAAACGAGTCTCATAATGGAAGTTTACACTTTGGTGTTGGAGTGGCGTTTACACAACATTCATAGCTGTCCTGGGCCACATGTGGCCTGCAGGCCACGGACTGAACATACCTGCTACTACATGAGCCCAAAGGTTCCTTCCCTTGAAATCCTACAATAACTTCTTCTTTTTCGGTTGCATCTTTTCAGTTATCGTTACCATTGCCTGAATTATATCCATTTAAAACACCAGTTCCAGGTTACTGAGGTGGTTCAGCAGGTGAGGCTTGCAGCAAGCCTCAGGACACAAATTCAGGACCTGCAGGGTGAACTGACTACATATTGTGTATACACACACACACACACACACACACACACACACACACACACACAAAACTACTTAATTTCTTTTAAAATAATTTGCCCAGCATAACAGTACAGTATATACCTATAATCTCAATGCTTGGGAACTGAGACAGGAGGATCACAAGTTTAAGGCCAGCCTGGGTTACATAGCATGATCCTGTCTCATCCCCCCCCCGCAAAAACCTAACTAAACAAAGATGGCAGCCACTACCTAAATGGGCACTGAGCGGTTGAAACGAGGCTAGTGGAACTGGCATTACTGTAAGATACCCAAGGGATCGGGAGGCTCTGGGTGGACAAAAAGGGCACAATTTTAAATATCTTGCCATTAATCTAACACTGGTAATATGTTCGGGTCAAATAAAATATATCAAATTTTAACATATTGTTACCCTACTATGCATGGTTCCTATGCAAAATAACACGTATGATGCGCTGTCTATTTATACTGAGCAGAGTTGGCTCCTGGAGTCTTTGCCATTGTGATCGTATTCACTCAGACCCTATTCTCTGAATTATTTGTGCACAAAGCACTTCGTTGGGTGTCTTAAAAAAATCTCTGGAGACACCCTAGTTTGTCTCACAGTGACAAGTCTCCAGGATAAGGCAGACGCGCTGCACCCCACGGGGTGGCCTTGAGGCGAACTGTCTGAGAGCCAGCACAAGTGGTCCTGTTGCTAAGCCTTGTTTTCCCGGTGCCCCAGGGGGAAGAGTCCGGATCGCAGGTGTGCAGGCTGCCAAGGCAGGCAGTGGGGAGGAGACAGCTTGGCAGCCTGCAAGCCTGGGGTATTGGAGGCCCTGTGGGCCTAGGGGCTGCAGCCTGAAAACTGTCCAGAAGCGGGGACCCTGGCCCCAGGACTGTGCACCTGTGTTGCCATGGCAGCAGCGTCTGCAGCCCGCGACTCCTCCCGCACCTCTCCCTGGCGACGCCCAAACCGGCCCTTCCCACCCGCGCGCCCAGCCCTACCAGCCGCGACCTGGTCTCAGGCTCCGCTCCGGATCTCGCAGCGCAGTCGCGAAGCGCACTGCATCTTGCGCGAAGGCTCCGCCCCTTCTTCACCGCTCGCACGCTGATTGGCCCGCCGCTCCGTGGCCTCGCACCTGCGCTCTGATTGATCGCCCGTCGCTTGCTAGGTTCTAAGCATCCGATTGGTCTTTGTTGAAGGTCCGGCAACCTTCTATTGGTGTAGCCCTGTGGCTCCAAGCCCTGATTGGAGGATGGAGACGGTCGGTCCTCCAGTCACTAAGGGTCTCCAGGAAGCTAGAAAGGGACTGGAAGAGTAGAATGATTCCCGGGATACGACTTATCTAATTTAGTGCGTCATAGATAATTAACATAACTACCCTCCATTACACTTAAAAAGCAGGTCTTTAATCCCAGCACCCAGGAGTTGGAGGCCAGCCTGGGCTACACAGGGAGAGCCAAGTCCGAAAGAAGGGGGAAAAAGAGAGGAGAATAGCAGAGGCAGAAGAGGAGAGACAGAGACCGACACTTCTCCTTTCAGAATCTGAGTTCCCCGATCGTAAAATAAAGGTGTTGGGTGGGTCTCTGAAAGGACTTTAAATTTAAAGTGATCAGGGTCACTGTGACTCGGAAAGATGTGAAGCAGAGGTCAGAGGAAACACTAACCTTCAGTTATACGAAAACAAGGCATTCAGTAAGATGAGGTGTGAAAGGGGTTTGCAGGAAAGCTGTGCGCATTGCAAGATAAAATAGCGAGTTGTGGTGATGATGGCAGTGCCAACCTAGTCTCCAGGTCGTCTCTGGCAGTGCCCCAAACAAACAAAAGCAGAGGCCCCTTCTTAAACAAGGTGAAAGGCAAGGAGCGACTGTCAAGGTCGTCTTCTGACTCCTACAGGGTTTCCATGCACGAATTCATACATACAAAAAAGGATTCCCCCTTTTGTTTTGAGGCAGAGTTTCTCTGGGTAGTCTGAAAGTCAATATGTAAACCAGACTAGCCTTGAATTTGAACTGCTTCTTTCTGCCCGCCACCCTCCCCAATCCCCCACCCCACCCCCATGCCCTGGAATTAAAGGTTTGAGCTGTCCACCCTGCCTTGGGGCTCCGAGGTCTGAGTGTAAAATAAAATAAATAAAAATGATTTCAAAGCTAAAAATAAGAAGAGCAATTTGTGACACTGCTGCATAACTCCCGTTTGAAATTAGGGAAGGGATATCCATCAAATGAAAATTTTTCCAGGGGGAAGAAAAGAGCTTGGACTGGGGAAAAGGTTTTCAAGTAACATCCTATTTTCTAAGTAGTCATTTAGATAAAGATTGCTCTCAGGAGGAAAACCCAAACCTCTGCTTTGCAAACACATGTCTACTGTGTGCCAGACCCGGCTGCTTCCTGTTCATCAAATGTGGTTTTTTTGTGGTGAAGAGCAGAGAAACATCCCCCTGTCAGTCACCCGCGGCACTTCTTTCCCAGTTCGGCTCACGCGGCATTCCCGGAGTGTTTCAGGTGGCCTTTTCACCTACTGGCAATGATTGTTTTCAAATTTCATTAAAAGCTGACTCAATGAACTGTGACGCAGCTGCCTGGGACTCTTCTCCCAGCATCTACCTTGATGACCTACAACGTTAGGAAAACGGTGACGGAAGCGGAAATGTGACTTCATATAACTCATTGTGTGTAGCGCCGTGTTCGTCTACACACGGGCACCAGCCTGCCTTTCTCTGCACACTGCTCTGCCTTCTCTCTCGTGATCTTCTGCTCAGGCTGTACTGTGTTTTGTTTTAAATTTCTAAACAGATCTGGTAAGGCCCATCTGTTCCCATTCTAGAATTCCCCAGACAGCTTATAGACACGTGTACCTATATGGACCCCCAAACTCCCAAATTCACATAGCAGTCAAAGACTGATTTCTGGCTCCCTTAAATTTTTAATGTTAAAAAAAAATTCCTCCCTAGAAAAGAGAAAGTAAACACTGAGGAATTCGTCAAAGTTAATACAAAAGTTTTGAAAGTACATAATCATTTAAAATAGGAAGCATCTGGGGAAAAGGAAAACCAGGAAACACGTCCTGGTTGTTTACATAACCATTCTGTCTTTGCAGCCAGGAAAGCTCTAGCTGCTCAGATACTGAGCGCCACTAGAAGAGTGACAATGGCCAGAGCCCTGTGGCTTTGGCTCAGCGGCGGACTGGGCAGTGCGCTCTTCGCCTCGGAAGGTGGCGCTGCTGGGCCGGATTGGGACTGACTCTCCCTGGACCCAACCAGGATAGCTGAAAAGAAACTTGGGATTTCTACAGTGAATCCCCTGGGGTGACTCCTCTCTAGTCCACTACAAAGGCGGGAAATAAAGCCGGCCCCCGGGGACAAAGCGGCGCCTCCACTCACGCAGCTGCGGGGCGTCCGGCAGAGGGGAGGGGGAAGGAGGAAGGCGGAGGACGGTTGCCATGGCGACGAGCCAGCATCTGAAGCGGCTGAAAGGACTCTTTGTTTTGAAGCCAGATGACGGGTGGTGCGGTTTCTAAGGTACTTCTAAAACGCCCTCGGTCCAGGGAAGACGGGTCGGGCCGGAGTCACCTGGGATGCGCTGCGGGGACAAGCGGCTCCCACGCTGGCCTGCCCTCCGGTGGCGCCAGACACCTGCTTCCCATCAGCGACTCGGCAGATTCTCGCTAAGGGCTGGGCGAGCGGGCTCAGGAAAGCCACTCCGAATCACGTCTTTGGAAGAAAAGCAGAAAGGGAGCCGGTCGCTGGTGACGCACTGAAGGTGTGCAGATTTCCCGAGTACTCAGTCACCAGTGTGTACGGTATGGGGTAGTGTGTGTGTGTGTGTGTGTGTGTGTGTGTGTGTGTGTGTGTGTGTGTGTTTGCATTTCAGGAAGTGGTTGCTTGCGCAGCTGTGAGACCAGCGGTTGTCGTCCGGGAAATGAAAACTCTCCGAACAGCCTGCAGGTTTCAGTTTTGCCTGGCGTTGTCTGTAGAAGCAAAAGCAAAAGTTTAAACAAGGAATTTAAAATAAAGCTGCGTCTGTTTGAAGACTCGCTTTCTATGGGATTTGGAACACTCGAGGGCAGCTGAACCTTTATTTGTTACTTTAATGTGTTTTAAAGTGTGCGGGCATAAGCTAATAGCATCAGCCCACAGACAGGTAAAGGTAGCAGGCATAAAGGCAAGCCAAGCAGCAAAGCCTGCCTGTCTTCTCGCCTTGTAGGGTGTGGAAGGAGACCTCGATCATTTGAGCAGCACATTGCGTAATCCAGCCACGACAGCTTTCCTTCACCACGGAAGTTCTAGAGGCAGTTCGTAAGCAGCGAAGGGTTGTCTCAAAGGTTTGGGTCCACGGTCTCGGGTTGGGGGCTTGTGGCCAAACTTATCAGGCAGTATGGTGGAAAAACTGCTACTTTGCTATTCTCGTTAGAGTGGGAAGCAAAGACAGGGATAGGGTGGGGTCTACCTTCCAACACCCCGTTCTCTTTCCTTCCAGTAGGCCCCTCTTCCCGACTCAGTCACCTTCTAACACATCGGGAACTGAGAATCAAACTGGGTGTGTGTGGGGGTCTCGTCTTAACTCTGTCTATTGTAACAGCAAAGTAACCACAGGGACCCTAAATTACGCAGATATAGACATTACATGGAAGCAATTTTTCTCACTACAAAATGGTGTACTATCAGTGAAATAATTAACTTTTAAAGAATCTCAGAAAGAGAGAAATAACACGAGGAGAGAGAGAACATGAGGTTGGGTGGGTAAGGAGGTGGGGAGGACTTGGGAGGAGTCGTGGGGGAGGACCCAACCAAATGAAAATAATCAAAGTAAAAGTATATTTGGCTATTTTTGTGTGTGCATGCACACACATCCACAGCACACGAGAGGCTGGAGGACAGTGCTCAGGAGTCAGTTCACTCCTGGGATTTGGGGGTGAAACTCAGCTCATAGGTCTGCACACAGCACTGCTACCCACTGAGCCGCCTTGCCAGCCCCAATAATAAACTTTTGAATTCCAATGACACCGATGACCTTTCTATACAGATGAAAGCAATTTCCTTAGGGTGACGAGGGTGACCAATAGGAGGCCGAAGAGGCAAGCTAAGGGAGGGTAGAAGGAATAGGCTCAAGATACAAATATGTAGATGTATAAATGTACAAGAGCTTGAAAAGAAGTCAGAGAATTTAAAAGTAATATCCTTAGCAATGAATAGTGATTTTGAGTTTCATAGATTGAACACTTGTCACTCATTGAGCAACACATTAAGAATTTGATGGGTATTATTTCATCTATAAAACTTTTCCTATTTTACAAGGGAAGAGACTGTCATATTCTCTAATGGCTCTAACTTCACATACCTAAGGCAGCTACAGTGTGGGTTTGAATTCATATCTGAAAACCTGAACTCTGTAGTCAGCCCTCAGACGTCACATACCATAGCTGGAACCAGCTTACAGAGGTGACTGCCACTGCTTTCCTTATATTTAAAAGAATTGGGGATGGGTGGTGGTGTAGTTTTTAAGAGCACTTTTTGTTCTTGCAGAGGACTGGAGTATGATTCCCAGTACACACTGCCTGTATCTCCAGTTCTAGGGGATCGGATGCCCTTTTCCGACTCCTGTGTGCTCCTGCATGCTTGTAATGCACTCTAGCACACACACACACACACACACACACACACACACACACACTTAAATATTGTAAAGAAAGGAATTGTGTTAGCCTTTACAACACATTACTGCTCAGGAAAGCAAAGAAGATCTTGCAAACTTGGAGAGAACATGTGTTATCCAGGCTGACAGTTACCTGTAAACCCCGGGTAGAAAAATTGATGTTGAGAGGAAGTGGACCAGTTCCCACCTTCCTCTTCCCATAGTCTAGGTCCCTTTTTGGGGACAAAGCAGTAGCAGTTGCTCCCTTGCTGCCCAGCCAAGAAGGTTCTAAGTTTCTGCTGTGGCTATCACCTGCTTCTGAGAGTCAACGCTGTAGTGTGCTTAGGCAGCAAGCCAGGTGACTTTGAAACTTTGTTTCTTTAAGCTGGGAAGAACTCTGGGAGGAAGCTCCTCCACCCGGCTAATAGCTGGCTTGTGTTGACTTGTTTGAAAGCGTTCGTGGACTTGGCCATAGTACAGAACGCTCTTGAAGCACAGAGAATTCTTCTGTGTAATTATGGTGGAACATTAACTCCACTCAATGTCCCTCATAAGCTAAGGAAAGTGTGGCTTCTAGCTGATAAAGCCTAAATCCTGAGTATAGAATTCAGGTGGTTAGTACATGGGTACCTATATTTCTTTCACAGTTTTGATAACGTTTGAATTTGTTTTTCTAATCATGTTAGGAGAAAAGTCAGATTCTGATCCAAAGTCTCTATTTTCTCAAATTTTATGAGGAAACACCAGGTTGAAATTTAGAGAACTGTTAGATTTTTTTTGTTGTTTAAAACATATATATAATTTACCCCCTCAAAAATTCATTAATTAAGATCACAGGGACATTATAAATGATAAAAATGCAAGATGGGATTTCAGAAACTGAGATCATCTTGGTGGCCTTTTCTTGGAGCTTGAAGACACTTTGGGGGAAGTATTTTCTAATAAAACAATTCCCAGTATTATTACTGTGTCGTCAGTGAATGGCTGTAACACCAGTTGCGCGTAAGAGTGTAATGCTGTACCCCTCCACTCCTTTTCAAATGTCCATTCCTTAATTGTTCCTGTACATCAGTCTTTGCACACTGTCATCTGGCAGACGTCCCTGAAGAGCCCGACCACACAATCAGGGCAGTGCTGAAGCTGCCACGTTCATTCCTTTATCTTGATAAATATGTTTTCACCTCTGCCATGGCTGCCAACTCCTCACTGATTTCAACTCTGCATTTCAGCACATATATAAATAGACAAAAGAAAGTAGGAAGTGACTAAGGAACATTTTGTACTTAGCTAATTAGCCTTTAATGACATTCTTAGCTCAGTAATATTTTTCATAGTAATATACTGATATAGCACCCCTACCCCAACTCCATATTTCACCAAAATCTCATGATAAGGGCACAAGGAGCTAAGTATTTATTCACTAAAATAGAGGAAATAAAAATGGAAGAGGAGAAAAATGAAGCTAACAAGAGTTGAAATTCATCCAAACTAATATGAATCATATAAACACAGCTATACGAAAGATTTGAAAATAAATGTTTTCTTCATAGGGTTCTATCGAAATAAATATAAATATCTTTTCCAAGCAGGACATAAATTACAAATAGAGACTCAAGAAAAAGGCAATCAGAATGTCTCATTATAACAAGAAATGGGAAATATGGTTAAATATCATCCATTAAAATGTGGTAAAACATTACAGATGAGAACCAGATAATATGAAAAAAGAATAGCAAGAACTAAGAAAAATTTCAGAGGTTAAGCCTAGGATATCTGCAGAAACAGGGTGAGGGTAAAAAATTAAAAATAACAATCAAAATCCAGTTAGAACACAGAAGACCAATGCAGACTCTGCTATTTTACTACCAGGAACACTAATGATAAAAGAGAAAATGGATGAAAGAAGCTATGTTTTAAGGTCTGGGAAATTTCCTCATAGTGAAGAGAAAGTAATCAACATCTAAATTGGAAGAAATCACTGCCTGTCCAGGCCAACAAATGAAAGCAAACCCGTAGGAAAGGAAGTGTCTAAGACCTACATGGATTTTTGTTTTGTCTGTTTTCTTGGCTTTTTTTGGAGGTGGTTGGGGTTTTTTGTTGTTGATGTCTTGAGGCAGGGTCTCACTGTGTAGCTTTGGATGGTCTGGAACTTGCTGTGTCGACAAGGTTTGGTTTCAAACTCAGAGATACCCAATTACCTCTGCCTCTCACGAGCTGGGTGGGATTAAAGGTTTGCGTCACTATACCCAGAACTCACTACATAGACCAGGCTGGCCTTGAACTGACAGAGATCTGGCTGCCTCCACGTTCCATGAGTCCTGATATCTGGTAATCCACATGGATTTTTAAAAGAGAGAGAAAAAGGAGAAAGGAAGAACTGAGAGACCTCTTGAGCATTTGACCCAACTGGAAATGAAGCCGCACTGTCCTATTGAAAGGGATCAGAAGGATGTGGGCACAACAACTAATCAAACAACAGAACAGATGGGGAACAGGGAAAACATAATGTAGTATCAGAGAGAAATGTCACCATCAAGGTACCTGGCTCATTATGAGCATGTGTTGGCTATAATGTTTTAGTTCATTGTGGGAACTTTGCTCAGTTACTATGATTCTCCCATTGCCCGAAGTAATGCCTAGGAAAAAGTGTACTCCACTAAATACTCAGAGGGTAGAGGGGTGGATACAAAAGAGCATTTAGCTTCAGTCATGGCACACACAGACGGGGAAGAAGGATTATGAAGGCTAAGAATGTTCAACCTTTGCTTTGTGTCTTGAAAACCCACCAAGTCAGGGAAAAGAAGATGAGTCAAGATAGGATAGCAGGGCTGGGGGGTGTAGTTCAGTGGTAGACCAGTTGTCTATGTCTAGCATGTTAAATCTGGCCCTGCTTCCATCATAAATCACACACACACACACACACACACATACACACACACACACACACACACTCTCTCTCTCTCTCTCTCTCTCTCTCTCTCTCTCTCTCTCTCTCTCTCTCTCTCAACAATAGAAAGCTATCATCTCAGAATAAATTACTAAAAAAGATGTAAGTGGTTGATTGCCTGGGCTGTGGGACACAGGAACTGAGGGAGTGTAGAGAACCAGGCTTTGCTTCTTTCTGTGAAACAAAAGGAGAGTGGGCCTGTGGCTTGCTCCTCTCCACCTCCACACCTTTGCATCAAGTGACTGGCTGAGCAAGTCTGAGTTAGCTCGACGGAACTGGTGACTTCCGGTGATCCCATAAGCTCAGCCCTCAAGAAGTTCCTGCTCCTCCCTAATTGACTAATTTCCCATCTTTCCCCTCTTCCTCTGCCCTATAAACATGCACAGCAGCCCTAGGCGGCTCTTCTTGTAGTGTGGAACCTCCTTGTACAGGCCAAGCAAGCATACCTCC